CATCTCTCAGAAGGAATTGTTCAGCAAAATTGCATTAGATCAAGGGATGTCTTCTATGAGCTTCTATGAGTTCTTACTGTGGTTTTGGGGGCTTCCTGATGTGATAGCAACTAAATGGGGCCAAAATGTCCTCTGAACTACCCCCTTTCCTCAGCCAAAACTGAATTTGCTCTGGGTACCAGAATTTCTAGTTATGATTGTAGGTATCCACAGAATTTCAGGCCTTTTTATTATTCAACAGTATTTTACTTAATTTAGGGAGTGAAAAAAAAACTGCACAAATACTAAAGGAAACAATATTTGAAGAATTTCAACATGTATTGTATAGTAAGTAGCCTCCTAATTACAAGGTTAAAGTGGTTACTGATACTAAAAGATGATTGTGTGGATGCTGCTGAAAACTTAAATACTGATAAAGAATGAAGATATCACTGAGGGCAAGAAAAGTATTATAAAGGAAAGCTGCTTCAGACTTTGTTATAAGCATTAGTAATTCTTTTAACCTCTTAACTTACTTTCTAGATCACTTGCATCCCAAAGCCATATTAATTGTAGTCTAAGTCTGCCACATTGTGATACTTAAAAGGTCCAATTTGCTTCCTTGGGTGAAGATACCTAATTCATCTTCCTTCTTACACACACTTTGTGCATATATGTATAGACATCTGAAGCCACGTGGTTTCATCACAAGCCCCCTCTCTCAAACTGTGTTTTGTGTTTCTGGATATCTCAACTAATATTCTCAGCCTTTTCTATTCCCCCAGCTGCTAGGGCCTTCCTCTCTAAGGTAACTTTCCATCTACTCTGGGTTTATCTTATATTACCAGTTTAAGTATATATCTTCTCCCTTACTATGCAAGCTTCTTGGAAATAGTAACTATTTTTCTTTGTATCCCCAACATTCAGCAAGCACTTAATAAATTGTTGTCGATTCATCAATTGCATTATCTTCACGAGGAAACAACTCCACATGTGTGGACATGTAGGATACTGATGTTAAAGAAAATTTGCATTTTTGCAACTACAAATGCAAACAGCACTGGTTCTCTTTTTACTAACAGTTTTACTGTGCTCCTTGATACTGGAGAATGTCAGACTTGTGGGTCACAGATAACTAATCCTTGTCAGTAAGTGACAGATGTTACTGAGTTTCCTTGTAAACTCAGATACCTTAGCTTTTCTTCTTTTGTTTTGTTTTGTTGGCTAGGCAATGGGGTTAAGTGACTTGCCCAGGGTCACATAGCTAGTAAGTGTTATGTGTCTGAGGCTGGATTTGAACTCAGGTCCTCCTGAATCCACGGCTAGTGCTCTATCCACTGCACCACCTAGCTGCCCCAGCTTTTCTTCTTAGGAGCCATTTCCCATGTATTAATTCTTTCCCAGTGAGGTGGTTCTCCTTTAGACTTTCTCCAAATTCTTCCTTTATATTCTTATGTTTCAGTTGTGGGTAGCCCTTAACTTACAAGTGGGTGGCTTTCTAAAAGTTCACTCCTAAGTCAGTTGTTTGGAACTCAGAATATGAGGCCATGTATACTACAGTCAGTCAGAAGTAGAGTAGCTAACTGGTTTGTATAACTTTGGGTTATATCACAAATGTTCTTCCTATCAGTTGCCTCTCCTGAAAAATGAAGGGGTTGTATTAGATGATATCTAATATCACTTCCAATTATAAAAATTCTATGATTTTATTGTTTTCCTGGAATAGGCAATATCCTAAATGGTGGCTAGTTCCTCAGCTGAGCCATGAAAGTCTTTCGGACAGAATCATATGATCAAGAACGGAAAGGAACACTAGAAATCATCTAGTCCAGTCCTCTCATTTTATAGGCCAAGAAGCTGAGTTCCAGAGAAATTAAGGGATTCGTACCTGAGGTCACACAAACCAAATCAAATCAAGAAGCATTTATTAAGGGCCTACCACATACTAGGCATGTAACAATGGTCCTGATAGTCAAGCCCATGCTCTTTTTCACTAGACCACAAATTTGGCCCATAATGTCAGTAGAGCTATAGTAGTAACAGGTTCCCCTTAAATTTCCAGGGGATAATGGGTCCCAAGTTCTAACTGAAAACTCAGGAGACTAGGAAATATAGCTATAGCTCCAGCCTCCAGAAAGATTTCCCTCCTCTGCTACACAGACATTTAGAGGGGAGACTGTCATTCCTCTGTTGCAGGGTGTCTCTCCAAGCAGTTAATTTCATTAAACTCTAACACATGTTAACTTATATTGAGCCTGTTATGCACAATCATTAATCACATACGATGTTTATTAGATTTCTAGTAGCTAATTATTTAATCTTGTATTTATGCAACATTAAAAAAAAAAGTCTGAAGTATACTACACTAAAGTTGTGTTTCTGCCCTCAACAAGGATGGTGATGCCTTTCAGCTTTTAACAGCCTTCAAAACATATCACACCATCCAAGAGGTCATTCAGGTGGCTTCACTCCCCTTTATGAAAAAGGGGCAAATTAAAATAAATAGATTCGTCAGAAATTTATTCAAGAAAGCAATTTCCAAGGGTTCTGATTTGACAATGATTTAGCTCATTGTCCCAAACAACACCACCACAGTTTGACAATTGATCACAATAATCTTGAGGGAGCAGAAAAAGTTAAATATCTTGTGCACCCATACAGTTCACTAAGATGTGCTATGATTTGGGAATATGTAAACTAAAAGGAGTTGAATGTTTTGACTGACTGAGTTTCAGTTATGCACGACGTGTCATAAACCAGAATTATCCACTTGTCAAACCTCCCCTTCCACAGCTCCCCTACCCCCACAACCAAACGAAAGAAGGGAAGGAAAATAGCTAAACATCTGACAGGCCTTTGCTTATCAGATACATTTTAGCTATTACTTATTTTTTGTCTGCTAGTTTCAATGTTATTGCATTTTCTAGCGAGGTCAGATTGCATTAATTGATTCTCCGGTCATTCCTGATTTTTCCAAACGCTCGTACTTTGTGCCATTCTGAATTTCCCCTCGGAGTCTCTCCCCTTTCGGTCTCCATCTAATGGTCTCTCCCGCTTTCTTTCTCCGCCCCCGGCTCCCCCCCCACTTTTTTTTTCTTTCCGCGTGTGTGTTCCTTACTCCAACATTCCTCTGATAGGACACTAGGTACTTTCTCCCAATTCACGATCGCTTTGCTGGAAGAGAAACAGTCTGTCCAGAACAGAAATGCTACTTTGAGGCCAAAAGAATAGGCCGCCCAGGGCGCCAAGAGTTGTTCCTGACACAGCATAACCACGGCACGACCTTGGGCGAGTCACTTCAAGTTCTCTGGGCTCGGATTTCCCATTTGTAAAGGGGTGTTAATGATACCTCCAGGTGGCCCCGGGAGAGAAAAGCCTGTGTTACAAAGCGAGCCTGGCTGCGATGAGAGGAGCAAGAGAAGAAGAGAGGCTGACCTATCTGGCAGACTAGAGAGGCTTCTTTGGGCGATTCTCTCCGAACTTAACAGAGACAAAAAAAAAAAAGTCCTCCCTTGGCTTCAGACAAAGCGTGAGAACTTTCAGGATTGGGGAGGGGGAGATAGGAGCTTTAATGGGAAAGTAGCAGGAGGGTGAGGGCGTTAATCAAGTTAAAAATAGACGAACATCCTCCACACTCCCCCCGCCTCCCAGTCCCACCCTCGGGGTGGGGGCCCCAGCAGCTCGGGCTTTCTTTGCATAGGTCTCAGTGACAGTTGCTTTGTCTGCCCCTCCCGGGACGGCCCACTGCCCTCCCGAGGCTCGGCTTTCCCTCCCCCCCGCCCGCTGCCTCCTCGGCCCTAGTGTCCCGGAGCCTGGGAGCCCGGGGGCGGAGTCACAGAGAACACTTCGTCATCCTCGTCATCGGCCTCGAGGCGGGAGCGGCAGCGGCAGGAGGAGCTTTAACCGCCGCCTCGGTTGGTCAGAGTGTTGTTTGCTGCTGCAGCTGCTTGGGCTGCTGCTGCTGCTGCGTGCTCGGCCCGCCCCTGCCGCCGCCGGTGGGGTTTTCGCTGACGTCCCCGCCCCGCCTCCTTCTGCCTATAGACTTGGGGCTGAGAGCGAGTGAACAGACGGCAGAAAGTGCACCGCAGCGGGGCTGTCTGTACGCTGGGGTGCTGGTGGCAGAGAGGGGGCGGCGCGAGCGAGCGAGCGTGCAAGCGTGAGCGCGAGACCCGCTCCCGGGAGCCGCGAGAACCTCGCCCGGAGGGGGGGGGGGGTAAGGAGAAGGAAGCGCCCCATAAAAGACCGTTGGGACCTTCCCCTCCAGCCCGGCCTCGGAGTCGCCGCCTGACCCCGCGGAGGAAGCGGCCCCGTTGTCGTCGTGGTCGTCTCTTCCCTCCGCCTTTTCCAGCGCTCGGCCCCCTCCCACTCCCTCCTCCCATTTTCCGAGCCCCTTGGCGAGTCTCGGCCACGCTCCGCGCCGCCGAAACAAAGGAGAGAACCAGGGAGCGGAGGCGGTCGCGCGAGCTCGGGCCCCCGGGCTTCCTCTCGCTCGCGCGCCCGGTTCCGGGGCAACCAACGGCACCTGGGCGCTGTGGAGGAGACGGCGCCTGAGGAGGAGGCGCCGCTGGTGCTGCTGCCGCCGCCGCCTGTGCTCCCGCTGGTGGGCGCGAGCTCCGCCTGGAACCTGCCCAGCTGCACGCGCCTCGCCCGGCCCGGAGCCGCCGCTGCAGCCGGCGCGCGTCCTCCCTTCTCCCGCCTCTCAAGAGCTGGCCGCCGTCTTCCATCCTGCAGCTTCTTCTCAGCCCTATCTTCTCGAGGGTTTCTCGGCCGCTTACAGCCCACCTCGTAAGTGAGGAGTTGACGGGATCTCGGGGGTTGGGAGGGCTGAGGGGTCGCGCCTCCGTCGTGCTTTGTATAGGCTAAGCCACAGAGGGAGGGGGAGGGGGGAATTGGACGGTTATGGGGGAGGGGGTGAACGGGCGGTCCTGAAGAAAGTGCTTTGGGGCCTTCCTTATTTGGGGCGAGGACGCCCGGGGAGGGGGGGGCTCGGCTCCCTCCTGGGAGAATCGTGGCCCGTCCGGATGGAAATCCTTCCCTGGAACGAGCTTGAGGAGCCCGGGCTTGGGGGCGAACGTGCTGGGCCCGAGCCTGGCCGGGCCTGGAGGGGTGGGGGCCCACCTGCGCGAGGCCTGGGGAGGGGAGGGAGCGAGGCCGCCGAGGAAGCACAAAGGCGGCGGCGTCATCTTGTCGTCGTGGCCCGGGGCCCTTCTTCCCTGGCTTCCTCCTCCCTCCCCTCCATCGCTCCTTTATCCCACCCCAATGCGGCGGCCTCTTCGTGGCGAGAACGTGGAAACCGCCACTCCCCCACCCCCCTAGAAATCTGTCAGGAAACGGCGGCTTATTTCCTTTTCTGCCTCGGCGGCTGCCGCTGCCCTGGACGAGGAAAGAAAGGGAGGAAGAAACAAAGAGGAGGAGGAGGAGGACGCGGGGCTGGACCACGCGCCGGGGTTCCGCGCGCGTGTGTGTGTGTGTGTGTGTGTGTGTGTGTGTGTGTGTGTGTGTGTGCGCGCGCGCGCGGGGGGGGTGCTCAGCTGATCCTTGGCAACCGGGAGGGTTTGGGTTCAGCTTTAGCGTATGGGGAGGGGGAAGGCCCAGGGGGGTATAGACCCGGGGTGCCGATGAGTTTGTTCAGCATGACTCAGTGAATTTGTACCTCTCCAGGCCGTGCAGCTCTTGTCGTAGCCGGGGGGGGGGGCGGCCTGTTCTCCAAGGCTGAACACGGTAGCTGTTTGTGAACAAGCTTCTATGTCGGCTTTGTTTCACCGAGGGGCAAGTCTCCCCTTCCCCCAGACTTTTTTTGGGGGGGGAGGTGTTGCTATCCCCTGTTTCATAGTACTCCTCCCTTCCTCTTTTGTGTGTTTCTGCCCCCAGCTGTCCCTGGCTTGAAAGAAGTGTACGGCTTTCCCTTTTGTTCTAGGTCACTCTGGTTGTAGGTCGTGAACGTGAGATCCTTTTTAAGCCATTTTTCTTACAAGTCATGGACCAAACCTTGCCAAAAATAATGTGCTCAAAACAAAGCTTGCGTTATTAGGAAGGGTTTGAAGGCTGGCTGTCCACACGATTCTTTCTTAAGTGTGGGCCTTTTGTGACTTTGTTTTTCAAGAAGAGGTTATTAGATCTGAAACTGGGTCTCTCTGACCTAAATATTATTTATCCTGTCACTGAAATTATTCCAAGAATTCACTTTTTGACCTAACATGGCTTCCTCCCCCAATTCTTAAGACCCCCAACCCCCCCAAAAAAAAACCTTTTGAAGCCTTATAAGTTTGTGGAAATATTGGTAGTTAATTTGAATTAAGAAACGCTGGTTTAAAAGTGAATTTCCCACAAATTAAAATTTATTGTTGTTAGCCCAAAGAACTGCATTTTCATAGAGGTACTACCCTTTAAATGTGGGGAAGATTTTGCTACTTATCTGTTTTAAGATGAGATAAAAGGGGAGTTTGCCTTTTACAATATTGTTGCAGCTTTAAAATTAATCACTGAGAAATGCAACCTTATAAATTCCTGTTTCAGTCCTAAACAAAGGCATTATTCTTTACAAAATTTGTAAACCTGATTATTTGATAACCTGACTTAATGGTAAACAGGCCTCCCACCCCCAAAAGTTTGTGGAGAATTGGCCAGTTAGCATGACTTGCCTTTGATGGTCCTCTCAGCTGTTCCTTATCATGTTGAAATGTCTGGGGCTCTTTAAAATGACTGATTGATGATGCTTTATCTTCTATATGGGATTTTAGATTGTCCTCCCTCCTTACATAAAGGAAACTGGAGCAGTGTTAATGGGATTTTACATTTTCCCTACAGTAGTGGTAGGAGTTCCACAGCCTCAATTCTTTAGGTCTTGTAGGAGTTGGCAGCCTCTGGGATATAAATAGAAGCTGATTTCAGAGGCCCCTGTTGACGAGGTTGTATGTGAGAGCCTCCACCTCAGCCTGTCACATTGCAGCCTTGTGACAGGCGGAAGCTAATGTACCCACCCATGTGATCTAAGCTTCTGAGAAGTATTAAAGCAAGTAGAGCACACGTGATGACATTTAAAACTGGCGTTCCTGGGGAAAACAGTGAGATAAAGCAAGTTAGATGATGCTGACTTCCTAGTAGCATTATCTAGCAAGCACAACTTTATATGTATCCTCTGGGGTAGAGAAGAAGGTGGCAAAGTTTGATCTGCCAAGTGACTTTTTATTTTTTTTTTATGGTTCTCCATAGTTTGGTACTTATGTGCCTCAAAACACTAAAAAAAACACACACACCCAACCCATCTCTAGTTTTCAAATTTGGGATTATTAAAACATTAATCAGATTGTGGCTTGAGCTATATGGTGTTCACGATTTTTTATTGTGTTGTCAAGTGATACTTGGACCTACTACAAGAGTAATGAACTAGGATAATTTTAGTCGTTGGAGAAGTAGTAACTTGGAAATTAAGGGATTGACTTTTCTGCATAAAAATACAGAGATTAGTACTTGGGACTTGGTAGGCCATCACATTTTCATTTGCATAAATCACAGAAGGGTATTTTTGGTACTATTTAAAATACTTTCAGCCAGTTTTCTAAATAATAAAGTGATGATGAAATATGTTTGCAGTATCCAGCTCTAAAATGAGTAAGCTAAATTTCCATAAGTCCTATTTAAAGGGACAGGCAGCTAGCTAAATTATAGGAAGTCAAATCTGGGCACAGGTCAGCTTGACAAATAATGGATAGTGTTTTCACTAATGTAATCAAATAATCACTTTCCATTACCTAGGTTTGTACTGAATTCATATTAACTTGAGATATATTCATGCCGAAGTGCCTTTGCATAGACCAACCCCAAAACCTGTAATATTTATCATAAACCTTTTAACCTCCTTAGGAGATTTTAGGTGCATTAAAAGTCCTGTGCTCCTTCCTGGTGGAAGTGTTTCCTGTTCTGTCTCCCCCTAGTTAATGCTTTCCTTCCTCAAGTTATCTTCTCTTTGCTTATTTGTAATTTCTCCCACTCCCTAAAATAGAATCTCCTTTTACAGGAGGCTGTTTTTCCTATAGTCTGTATTTTAAGCACTACCAACAAGCTTGTACATAGTAGACAGTTAAATATTTGTTGAATTCAGGATTCTAGTTGATATTAACCCTCCAATTTTTATTACATTAGGGAAGCAATATAATATAGTACTAAAAATTAAAGTATTTCAATAACTGCCTTTAAAATTGCCAAAACACATCTTGTAGTATGTGATTTTCTGAAGGTTTCCTTTAGTTATATCTTATGCTTACAGCCTTTTTTGGTGTACTTATCCAAAATGTTTACAACTCTTGAGAAATTTCTTAGTTACGGTTTGATTACAGATTTTGAAAAGAATTAAAATGTTCCATAAGCCTATGGTGCTGCCCTTTAAAATTATTTGCTACTGGCAATTATACTAATATTTTAGAATGACCTGAAAAACCTTCCAATTTCTATTTTTAAAAATTCTTATAGATCATTTTTTTCTAAGAACAGGGAATTCTTACCCAGAGGACAACCTAATGAACTTAATTCTTCAATTTGTGGCAGATGAGTTGATTACACTGAGTGCCAATTATAACGGTGCCCTTGGAAACACAAGGATTTGGTTGCTATATCGAGTTCTGTCTAGTAACCTTGCGTCAGAGATTAACCACTAGTGAAGGTGAAGTATTTATATTGCCATAACTTTTCCATGTCCCTGTTCCCACAAACAGCAGAGTTTTGTTACCTGCTGGAAGTGGAATGTTGAGGAGCATTCACTCTAAATTTATAGCAATGGCTGGAGTCCTTGGGCTCACTAATCTAAAAATTGATAAAGCAGAATTATCAACAATAAATAATATCTTATAAGTACTTGGAGAACTGATTTCCTTAAAGTGAAGAGTACATGGAGAGATTTCACAAGAAGTAGCTGACCTAGAGATACTTAAGGATCTGTACATATGTTGTTGCCAGTTAGCAGGCTGGGTCAGATTACAAACACAACCTTGTTTAAACTCCCTCTGTAACTTTATAAACACCTTTCAAGCTTAACAGAAGACACATTGAGATTCCTTGTCATGTTTTTTTTTCCTTTTACTCATCCAAATGGTTTACTTTGTAGATAATTTAAATATTGTTCATGAAATTACTCGAGTAAAGGAACGAAATAGAATGACAGTAATACCAAATCTCAAAGCTTGTGAAAAATCACATTGTTTAGTTTATCTTCTGAAAGGATTGGTTATTAATGAGAATTAATTAATGTTTAATGATGAAGGAAAGGTGACTATATGGCTTTAGAATTTTTCAATATGAAAACAATTCAGTATGAAAATATGATTTTCAATATGCCTTGGGTTCAGAAAAGAGATAAAAAACTAATATATTTCTGCTCTACTGAAACTCATGAATACAGTTACTGCTTCTGTTAAGAATGCTGATGTCATTTGTTTCTAGAAAAAGCAACGATACTGATGATATCATAGCAAGTCAATGATTGATTTTGGAGATATGCCAGCTTCTAATGCATTTTTTTCTGGTTTTACTTAAAGCCCAGAGAAATGGCTCAGGAGACAAACCAGACCCCAGGGCCCATGCTGTGTAGCACAGGATGTGGCTTTTATGGAAATCCTAGGACAAATGGCATGTGTTCAGTTTGCTACAAAGAACATCTTCAACGGCAGCAGAATAGTGGCAGAATGAGCCCAATGGGTAAGTTGTTGCCAAGGAAAATCATAATATTTGAAGAAGTGGTGGAAAGAACTCTAGAACCAAGTATGTGAGCCAAAGCTGGGAACCTATACTGAAATCTGCTGGAACCTTGAGGGGGAGAACATTTTTGAACTTAACAAAAGGCAACAGCCCAATACTTGTGAAAATATTAAATTCAGCAAGCTTGTGTTAAGCACCTATTAAGTGCAGGGCACTTTGCAAGGTGCTTTAGAGAAAGACAAAGGAAAAAAAAAAGGCCCTGACTTCAAGGAGCCTACTTGGGGGAAAGAGAAGGGGAAGCTGCATGATGATTTAGCTTCTCATTTTTATATTTGAGAATTTGCTCCACGTGTTCAAGAATGCTTTGGATATGTCATTTTAATTTTGTGTTTTGTTTGAACCATCACTCTAAGAATAAGTAGAGGATTCTGCCAGCATAGTACAGGTGATTAGAAGAAGATCAACATACCTAAACATTTTATGTGTGATTATTTGTGTGGAAATCTCTTTGAGGTTACATGATAGTAGACTAATTCTTAGAAATCACAAAATCTCAAGAGTTGTAAGGAATATCAGACAGAGGTCATCTAGTCCAACTTGTACCTGAACAGGAAGTCCCTCCTACAACATTCTTGACAAGTGGTCATCTAGCTTCTGCTCTGGTGATGGGGAACTCAGTATCTACTTAGGTGGCCCTTTCCATCTTTGGACATCTTGTGGGTTGGAAAATTTTTCCATTTTGGGCATCTTGTAGGCTGGAAGATTTTTCCCTCCTGAATTTTTAAGAAGTTGCTTCCAATCTGCTATTCCTGTTTTTATTTTATAGGATCAGCTAGTGGTTCCAACAGTCCTACCTCAGACTCTGCATCAGTTCAAAGAGCAGAAGCTAGTTTAAACAACTGTGAAGGTGCTGCTGGCAGCACATCTGAAAAATCAAGGTAAGATTTTGTTTTCAGTTTATTTTGTGTTACATTACAATGCATAAGTAAAGTTGTGCCATATTCTTTCCTGATAAGGGAATACTTCGAATGTATCAAGCATTGCATATAGAAAATATGTAGTAGATGCTTGAATGAAAATATAAGCATTACAACACACTCCTTTAAAGAAACACTAAATAGGGGGCAGCTAGATGGCACAGTGCATAGAGCACCGGCCCTGGATTCAGGAGGACCTGAGTTCAAATGTGGCCTCAGACACATAACACATACTAGCTGTGTGACCCTGGGCAAGTCACTTAACCCCATTGCCTAGCCAAAAAAAAAAAAAGAAAGAAAGAAAACACTAAATAGAGAGTTTGTACATTTTAAATGTCAGAGGAGGGCACAGAGTCAACAAGTAATGCACTCGAGTTATTTAATCAAATGGACAAATTTTGGGAGTGTAATATAATTTTGTAACTTGGCAATTACCATTGTAGTATTGAGGAGTACTACTCATTCAGCTTTTGGTTCAACTCAAGATAATAAGAAGCACCATGCTGAGAACAGGTGAATTTAAGAAATGAACAAGGCATAATCTTTGCCCTCAAGGAACTTCAAGTATAGCAGTTAAGAAAAGGCTTAAATGAATTAAAATGCAAGGGGTAAAAGTGCATAAACCAACAAAAATCTGTGTTTAGTAAAAGAAACTATTGCCTGTTATAACTATGGTACAAATTAGAATGGGAGGACAAAGCTAGCCAAAGTGCTGTGGTAGAGAGTTTGGCTGTAGAAGGCCTTGGACTTTGAATTTGGAGTAGTTTTGTTGCTTGTTCTTTAGCGTGTACATAACACAGAGAGAATGGTAGTTATTCTCTTTATTTTAAAGAAAAGCAGTTGACTCTGTCTTAGTCAGAGATTACAGATAAATCCATCTGATAAATTGTTAAGTGCCTACTTTGTGTAAGAACTGACCTTTTCTCTTAAGGAGAAAGACTAGTACTAAAATGAAGACTAGACTATAAAAGTATTTTTAAAAGTTAAAACTGCTATGAGGACAAAGTATGTGTCTACATATGTAGACATACAAGCTTTAAAATAGTACCCAAGAAGCTAAATATTTTGAAAATATACATTTAAAATGTCAGCTATTAATGCCTTTAAGTTTTTTTGTTTTACTGACCTCAAATAGAAATGTGCCTGTGGCCGCTTTGCCTGTAACACAGCAAATGACAGAAATGAGCATTTCAAGAGAGGACAAAATAACCATACCGAAAACAGAGGCATCAGAGCCAGGTACGTTTTTTAATGCTTTTAATTGCTTGACATTAATTCCTTCTGAATGCTCCTCAGAATTCTGAAGAAAGGGTTTATATCGGGAGTCTTCACAGTTCTATTGAACAAGAGAAGGTATTTGCAAGAAGCATTTTCCTTCAACTGATAAGTCCTGATGTAAAACAATATACTTTTTGTGTAACAAAGCATTTAGTAATATGGAACTTTAAGCAGATGTGAAGGGACATTTTGAGGTCTTTAAAGTCAGTCTTTACCAAAAAAAATCTACATGTACTAATTTTGATGATAAATTAGGTCCTCCAGTGACTCTTTTGGTTAAGGTATTAATAAGTTGCAGTTAGCTTGGTGAAATGACTGAACAGCTGCTCAGTTTCTTAATACAGCTATAAAATTATTTGTGTGTCTTCCCACACAGGTGACACAGTATGTGGTAAATCAGTTAATTTTTTTCTCACATGTATATGTGGTAGTAAAACTTTAAATTCAAGATACTCCTAATTTGAAAATTGTGATAATTCAAACTGGCTCTTCCTGATGATTACCATTGTAATGTCTGAGGAAAAGGAAATTCCTAAACCAATTAATAGAAATAAATATGTCTCTCATGGTATCAGTTTAACCTACTTTACAATAACCTTTTAAAGGAATTCAGCTTTGTCTATGTAAATATATGCTGCTGGTTTCAAAGTAGTTCTTGGCCTGTTCTTCTAAAGCAGGACCAGCAGGTGCAGCATTTTAAATAGTGGGTTAAAGCTTTTGCAGATTCTAGGAACTTGGAAAAATATTTTGGGGTCTTCATGTGACTTATTCTCATTTTTACTTAACTCTTCCTTCTTCCCCTTCCCCAGGAAGACAGTGAGGCTGACTATTTGAAAAATAAATGTTAATGGGTTTAAAGATTTTTCTATAAAAGAAACAGTCTTAGTTTTTCAGAGAAACTTTTCAGTAAAGACTTGTCATAAGCCATGAAGAAAATATTGCATGCACAGGTAGTGTGCTGTAAGATTTTATTTTAACATTATCTGGAAGAAATAAAGTTGTTTGATACATGGCTAAGAGACTTTAGCGAAGTAAATCTCAGAGGAATTATAAGTCAATGTGAGGCTCCTTGGGGGAGGAGGTGACAGAATTGTCAAGAAAACATGAATTTCAACAGTTAACATAGCCGGCTTAGTATTGGTCTCATTTTCCTTACCTAGGCTTTGTTAGACTGGACTGAGAAAAGCCTCTTTGGTTGTTAAAATGTAAATTAAGATGTTATATTTTAGCAATTTATCTTAATGGTCTGCTAGACATTTAGGTTATGGGGGATAGGTTTGGAAAGGATGAAAATACATTGTATTCTCAGGATGACTGATCACATCAGTAAAAATTAAATGAACTTAGTGACCAGTGCAAGTAGTTCTTAGGAGTATGTCAGAAGCATGTTTCCATGACAACAAATGGACTGTAGGTACTATACTCCCTCCTTTTGGAAATAAGACTAAGCAAGAGCATTTCAGATTCGTAAGATAGTAACTTTATGCATTTGTCCTAGTTTGGGAATTGTTTGAACATCTGGAGAAAGAATGTCTGAATATCTGTGCTGGAAAAACACAGGGTGGGCTGTGTGTTCTATATATGGGTCATTCATTCATCCTATAATTTCCTTGCAAATTGCAAATATGAACAGTGTACAGCTTTATAGGAGAGTGGCTTAGGTGAAAATTAATGAAGCTCTCTTTAGCTGTTTACTTTTAACACCATAGCTAAG